TTTTTTTCATTTATAATCTACTTATAATATTATATATTTATTTAATATTATATCATACTTATTTAATAATATTTCATAATTATAAATTTACAATCTCAAATTACATTTTAATTATCACTTTACCATTATGCTTATACCAATCCTTTTAAATAAAGATAATTTTTTACAAATATTTTTACTATTAAACGATGGGGGAAGGTGATCCAAATTAAAATCAAGTCGAAGATGGTGTTTTCACTAAGGATATGTTTAAAAACTTGAATTTGCATTTTAAAAATATATTTAAAATATATGTAATTTTAAATATATGTTTTTAAATTTATTATTTAGATTAATAAAATAACAATAAATTTAATAGTTATTTTATTTATTAAAAAAACAGAATTGAAATATATAGATTTAAATTTAAAATATATAGTGTTAGTAGGATATTTTAAATGCATAAATTTAAAATAATAAAATACATAAACTCAATTTTATATATTTAAAATAAATTTAATTATATAATTATTTTATAAAAATAAATAATAATATTAAAATTTTTAAAAAATAAAATTTAAATACATTTTTTTTTTATAAAAATCACGTCCTCAAGTATGCGATTAAAGGAAAAGTGAACTGGCCTCCTGTGCTGGCGTGCGGAGCGCTTATGCGGGTTTTTTTGTTTTTCCAACCATGCAAGACGCGTGAAACACGTGGCAAAATTCCAGTAAAGGCCGAGTCCATGTGGTTCTTCTACTCCATCCAATTTCCCCTTTTTTACCATTGAAACGCATAATTCAGAGGAAAAGAATTACGTACGGTATAAGACGATCCAACGCAGCAGAATCCAAAAGAGCTTTTCTCCTCTTTTTTCTTCCTCTCCCTTTCCCCTCCCCCTAGGGTTTTAATTTCCTCTTCCCCGATTTAGCCTCGATTGATTATCCATGGCGAAGAAGAGGAAATCCGTTGCCTCCCGCCTGGACGAGGTCGATCGGAGCATGTACACCACCTTCTGCAGCGCGGCCAATTCGCTCTCGCAACTCTACACCCAATCCATGAACCACCAGCGCCTCTCCTTCCAGGCCGGCGAACGTCACGCCCTGGTTTGTCTTCTTATTTCTATCTTATCTATCCTATTCCCTTCCAGACTTCTTATTTATTTTTGGAGAATTACGTTTTTTTTTTTTGGCCTTGGAGAATTATGTTGATTGTGTTAGTGTTTGCTTTTTCTTTTTCTTTTTTTTAATTCAATTTTTAATATTTATTTATGATAGCTATTATTCGACCTTGTTTGTTTGGTTTGCGAGAATTGGAGAAATATGAAAGAATGTAGCCATGAAGCTATCTGGAAAATATACCCCTTTTTTTGAATTTAGTGGAATTGGATCTTGTAGTTTGTGTAGAATCTTATTGTTATTTATTTAATTATCATAGATTTTTTGTAACTTGGTAAAAGTTTGAGCTTTATTCACCCATATTGTCTCAGTGAACAAAGTAGAATTATTTGTCCATTTGAATGTAGATATTCACAATCAACTCAAGTTAAACTATTAAATTAGGAGTAGAAATAACTATAGAATTAGCTTCTAGACTTGCTTAAATTCGGTGTGAACAATGTTATTAGTTCTTGAGTATTTTAAATGAATGTTAGCATGGGTGTGTAATTTGAGCATTCTGATTTTGGATTATTTTTGCTGTTTTCGAGTTTTATGTCTGCTCTGTGGTTTGTTGTTTGTCATCCAATGGCTTTTAAGTTATTTCTTCCTATCTAATTATAAATGCTATGTTTTTCTCACCAGGAAAAGCTTTATCAATGGATCTTGAGACAGCAAGAGGAAGGATCGAGGGTGGCAACTGTTGATGTAGTTGCTTATTTGCAGGTTTGTAATTTGTTGCTTTTGTTTCTTTTTGCTATGTTTATTTTCATTCTTTCCATGGTTCTTCCTCCATAATTGAACTGGTCCAATGCTGTATTTTGTATTACATTCGCCTACAGATAGATGGGAGTGTTGAATTGTTTTTTCTTCTTTTTTTCCTTAATGGTGATATTGATTGCATGATTGTTTTCCTATACTTCTGCAGAATGAGCTAGAATATGGAACTGAAGAACCAGCAATGTCTCCCAGAATGCCATTTCAGCACCAGCAGCACTCTCAAACTGCAACATACTTGAACAATATAGGCAGCCCTGTTTCCTCAAATCCATCATCACCAGCAATATTTGGGCCTGCAGTTCGCCCTGGAGATCCCCAACCAAAGAACTCTGTTTTCTCAAATGCACTCTCCAGCCCTGTTCGTCGAAGCCTTCAGAACTACCAGTTGACCCAGGGAAGTTACCATTCAAACAATGTTTTTCCTGGCAATGGACCTCGAAATAACGAGACTAACTGTACTAACCAACAAAACAGGGAAGGCAATTCCACCAGCTCGAATGACCCCATGGACATGCATGCCGATAGTCCAGGTCAATATTTCCCTTTCTGAAATCTGTACTTATCTGTTTTCTTTATCCTTTTCTAACAATAGTTTCTTGTGTTTAGGAATCTTCAAATTCTCTGTAATTGTAGCGCAAATCATACATTTATGTATAATGTGTTCATTGTTATATTTATATCAATGGTGGTTGCATTATCTTGGTTATCAAACCTGAGATCTATTTATTGGCATGATCATCACCATAGACAATTTGATAAAAAAGTAAAAAAATAAAAATAAAAATACATCAATTATCCTTCCGCTATTTATAACCTATTGTTTAGGTTGGTTTCCATATTGTAACTTCAGCCTAGCGGACAATATAAGCAAAAAGAAACATAATCAGAAAGTTTATAAAACTGATGTGAAGAGAGTTTATGCAGTCATCACAGCTTCAGTTTCTTGTTGATTTGGTGTCCCTATGATCAATACATTCATATCCTCTGTTAATTAACAACTCCACTGATGCTGGTGTTTTCTCCAGCAATGATCCTTCGAGAGGATGACAGCCCAAGATCGAAGGGTCCCAAAGACTCGGTCTGCAATCAACCATTCCAAAAATGTTAAAACTAATAAACTGAAGTAACCAAAAAGAAAAAATTGCAGAATTGCTTATTAAATAAGTTATTGAGAGATGAAACAGTTTGAAGTAACAAATTGAAGTACCCATTTGATGCCTGACAATCCCAAGCTGCTTTCATCGTTATACACCCGAGAACAAAGCAGCAAATCTTTCTCTGATCCTTGACATGACTGGCCTTCTGGAAGCTCAGATGGGGAATTAGCCTGCAAAGTGTCAAAAACCTAAATTAACAAAGGCTTAAATCCAATGAAATTAGTGACTGTCTCTGACGATAATAGCAAAGCTTAGGACTTCTCAATGATAACCGTTGAGAATATGATCGTAATAACCCTTTTTGCAATATAAATAGATCTAACTTTCAGGTCAAAAATAATAATAATAATAATAATAATAAAACAATTTACTTCTCAATGCAAAGCATAAGGTGAAGTTATCACATCAAATTAAGCCAAGCATTGGTATCAGACATGCTATTTAAAATTTCTTTCAAGGGCAAATTTTAGTTGGAGTTTTACTTTTACTTCTTCATCCAAGAACCATGGATGCAACAGAAGTATAGATCAAACTGTTACTTGCTTGAAATATTAATCCAACAACCAGGCAACACCATATGCCTACATTTGTTGGACAACCAGAGCTTGCTGGCCGTGGAAAATTAGTTTTGAAGAGCTATATAATCATGTAAACCAGTGCAGAAGGACTAGAGCTGTGTGAGTATAATAATCAATAGTCTTTTGCAAGCAAACAAATAGAGAAAAAGGGGGAAAGCTCGGCACTTTTTCTGTTGAAAAAGTGAGTCACGCAAAACAGCTTCATGGTGGTTATTATTGGCGTGAGAAATTGAAGAATAAATTTGAGCATACCTCAGTCAGATTGGGAAATGTGAATGATTTAGAACTGGCATCCTGACTGTGGGTTCGAGGACAAGCACTTCCACCCAAAGGTATAGCATCCTTTGCTGAGGACGAGTATTTCTGAAATAGAAATGCATGACATGTATCCTCAGCATTGAAAATTGAAGAGCATGCATCTTGGGTGGGTAGCCTTGGAGCTTCAGATTGATTTATTTGGCCAGCAAGAAAAGCATCAAATGAATCAGAGATTAATTGAGATGGCTGCATTCCAGCATTGCTACCATTCGATTTTGGATCAACAGTTTTGAACTTGCCCTGCAAAGATGCTTCTGACAACAGTCCTCCTATGCTTATGTTAGTTAGACTGTCATCCCATAGAGTTGACGGTTGCCCAATGCCACTGGCCATCCTTGCTTCATTATCCTAACAGATGAATAAAAATATTTTCAGAAGGTAGGTAAGACATTGGACGTTAGTATGCTCCAACTTAACACCATTCTAGATAAAACTTGGTTCTAGAAATTGGGCACCTGAGATTTCCCATAATTAAATAACTGCTCACTATCAAATTTGATTAGTTTTCTTTTAACTCTGAATTTCTATCATAATAAGAAAACTAAAAACGTGTTAGGCATAAATCCAAAAGTTTCTTCAAATCTCCTAACCACCAACAGATATTAGCAATTCTGCAAGTATGCCGTTGTAAACATGGAATAAGCAGAAAAATATCACTGACGTACCGTAGAATCAACTAATAAATCTGAAAACATATTCTGATCCATAACTGCATGTGTTGTGCTTGTAATGGCTGGTTTAGCTATCTCTTCATTTGTCATCTCAGTTTTTTCTCCTTTTCCATACGCAATCTCCATGCTATTATTGCAATCTCTTTGTACGCTTTCACAATTTAAACATGCCTCGAAGGAAGCTGATATTAAGGGCAGTCTAGTGGATTTCGTTTCAGAATCTGAGACCCACCCATACCTTCAAAGAAAATTACAGGAAAAACACGGAAGTAAGCCACCTAAATCTGGATAAACATAAACTGAAGATTGTGTGTGAGGTGTGGGAAAGGGGTTGGGATACAACAAAGATCAAATCAATAAGGCCTCAAACCTTAAGCGAAAAACAGCTGGCCTTCCAGTTGTTGTATAGACATCTCTAGCACTTATGGAAACGTCATTCACGGACCATCGGTAAGTAGATAAATTTTCTGCTACATTGTATGGGAAAAGCATGGGTTCTCCAACAGCAATGCTTGAATTGCCCCACTTGCTACTGAGGTGCTTAAGTATGGAAGATACCTTCTTTCTAGCACTTAAAGTAAGCTCCAAGTATGGATGAAATCCATCCTGCGAAGGGATAAGTTAGTTTGTTTCTTAGAAAGAACTCCTAAAACTGTTGAAAGATACTGTAGTTTAATTGTTTAAAGTCTTACCTTTTCTAATCCTAGGCGGGTACCTTCATCTATTGGAAAGAGCTGCAACTTCATTTTCGTAGAAGGATAAAATGTTTGTCCAGCATGAAGGTGCTGCGCAGGGATGTCTGAACCTGCTTCCAAGAAACATGTACTTTTGTCTTGAAATACTGAATACAATGCCCCATCTGACCCAGAAGGGGAAGGGTGCTCGCACTTTTCAACCAGACCTAAAAAAAGAGAATACCAAAAACTCAAACCAAATGCACACGTTAAGCACACATGACATAATTTCATGAAAGATGAAAGCATACAGGCCCCGTTCGCTATTGATAGAAAGCATATAAACTTTCAAAGAATAAACCGTAAGAATCAAACCTGGAGATTGAGATACCCCACTCCTTGCTTTGGGAGACTCTCGGGAGGTTCCCTTCACAGATTTCTTGGCTTCATTAACGACTCCACCCACATTAAGCACCGTGGGGGCTTCGACTTCCTTTGAACTCCTTCGCTTTCTACTAGTTTTCATGGTACTTCAAGTACCCTTTGCAAGGAAATTGCGAAAAAGAGAGAAATTTAGACCCATATTCACAAACTACCGGACAAAGAAAAATTCAGAAAGATCAAGATATGCCAACATCAATTCGGCGACAAATTGGAACCGGTAATAGCCTAGTTTCAATTCAATTCAATTTTAACTAGAATCAAGCGAAAACACCCACTTCGTGAAACAACAAAAGAAAAGAGAGCTAAGCTAATTAGAAAGAATTCATGAATAAAAATCCCTAATTCAATGCATAAAAATCGAATTTAACCACAAACAAATGGCATCAGATTGATCCATCGAAGAACACAGATATTCAAAATTGAAGAAAGAAATCAAGCCGAGAAAATCTTGGAAACTAAAATTTAGGTTTTACCTTCAAATCTGACGACCAAATTCCAGAGATTTAGGGCTTCTCAGTTATGGAAAAAAAAAATGGACCTTGAATCAAAGAGAGAGGGAAAGGAAAAAGAGAGGGATTCGAAATCGGTGTAAAAATGTTGGCGGGAGTTGAATTTGTGGGCGCCTTTATTTTCGGGCTCAACTTTACACAGCGGCGAGCCCAAAAACATTTTAATAGCCCACCTGGGAGCAGAAATTTCAACCCCACTGAGCCCAAATAAAAATTCTAAGCCCAATCAGCCCAATAATGCTAAATTGGAAAGCCCATGTAAGCTCTTAGAGACTGTTGCGCATAGCCGCCAAAATCGGTTTTTTTTTTTTTTTGGCAAATTTGCTGAAATGCCACCGTTACTGATAACCCAGCCAAGGCATTGAAAATGGAGGACGGAATTGAACCTTTATGCAAAACGAAGCAGCGTTTTTCTTCTCCATTTTAGCATAATTCCAAGAATGCCGGCCAAAGTACGGCGCGTATTCCCTTTCTTGTTCATCAAAAAATAATTTCTCCAATTCCACTCTCCTATTTTCACCCTGTTTCTAGCATCACTATGCCACCTAACAATCTCCGTTCCATCTAGTCGGCACCATCCGTTGCTTATTTTGGGAGAGATGGATTGTGTCCAGGGGAAGTATTCTGACTGCTCGCCCCCTCAGGGGCGCAAGAGGTTGAAGAAGGAAAATGGGTATCAGGGGGGAGGGAAAAGATTGCTGGGGAGGAATGGTGGGAATTTGTTTAGACGTCGACAGGAGAATCAAAAGTTGGGTTTGAGAAACGAGGGTGATGGAGGGAATGAAAGATGGTTGGTAGAAAAGGGGAGAAGGGGAAGGAAAGAGGGCCTAATGGAATGGTTCATGAACGAATTGTGTTGAAGAAGATTGCAGGTGATGAGATGGTTGAAGGTTGGCCTAAGTGGCTTGTTGATAATATTCCCAGAGAGGTTTTGGCTGGTTTGGTTTCGAAGAGTGCGGATTCCTATGATAAGCTTGCCAAGGTAAGTTTGTTTAAGCTTTGTTTTTCCTATTGAAATTGTTTGTTACCATCTGATGAGATGGGTGTGTGTGTGTAAATGTTTGAATTTGCAGATAGGCCAAGGAACCTATAGCAATGTGTAAAAAGCTCGAAATAGGGACACTGGACGTCCTCCTGGATGATGCATATAATCCTGGATTAAAGAAAAAGGAGGAAGTGAACATAAATTTGCTAGGAAAAATATAACACATAATCTATATCTGTATAACAATCATATTTAACTACGACCAGGACTTTTGCTTTGTGTTTAAAACTGCATTACATAAAAAAAACCCAACAAATAGGAATGGAAAGAAGATGAAAAAAAAAAGGAA